CAAGGATTGAAACAGCCTCAAACAAATGTCATTCTACTTACTAGTTTTGTTGCCATGGTAACAGCCACTGGAAGTTGAAATTGAAGTGAGACGATTTATCAGCTGGTCCCTAGAGGTCTGGGGAGAGAGGATGCTTGCAGGTGAAGTGATCTATTCGTTTTGCTATTAAAGGTTCTACTTGAGTTTGCAAATCTAATTACACTGAATTAGCCTGAAGTTTTATAACACAAACCCCCAGTGAATGTCTCTACAAAAGAGGTAGAAAATTATCAGCTTCATGTCATGTGTTCTACATCTATTTTCAAACAGGGAGGTCAAATTATAATTCTGTAATTCCGGTATAGTATCACCAAATATACAAATATGAATGCATGTAGGATGAAGGGTTGGGGTCAGGGGAAGGGGAAGGGTTGGGGTCAGGGGAAGGGGAAGGGGAAGGGTTGTGGTCAGGGGAAGGGGAATGGAAGGGGGCCAGGAAGGAGAGGGATACTTTTCCAGACGATGTGTGTCCTAGAACTTTAACATGATATTAAAGATAAACTTGAGTTCTGGTAAAAAAAGAAAATGAACTCTCAAAGAATCAAACAAAACTTACATTGAATGTTCAAGATTACAAATAAATGTCATTTGCCAACCAATTTTGGTTGAAAATGTATACTGGCTGAGTAATGAGCATAGAAAGATAAGGAAATCAAGGCAAGTAGCCCTGACACCATTTCAGTAGTCCCATATACAATGTACATCTTTCTGTGTACAGTGCTTGTTACTTTACCAAGACTGGGTCAAATTTATTATGATTTTGATGACTCCAGAACCTTGCAGTACACACCAATACTAACATGCTATATGATCAACTTTTTCTGATCCATTCCACACCTTTTCTTTCACAATGCAATCGCATGACCAGAACTCAACTTTATCTTTAATGAGAACATTATCTTCTAAAACTTAAATTTCACTCCATTAGATGGCTTTAGTGTTTTTTTCTTTAAATAGATACAAGGGATACAAGTTAGTTTATAAATATATATGTATATATATATATATATATATATATATATATATATATGTTTTTCCAAAACTCAGAGTAGTGCAAACCCACCTTGTGTAAGCATAGAAGTCCCACTAACCCTTGAGCGTGGCTCTTGTAAGAAGCTGGCTTCTGAATCTTATTACTCTAGTGACTTTCTAGAATGCCAAAGGTTTGTCAGAAAGGCACCTAAGGTCACACTTGATAGATCGTATTGTGGTAGTGAGAGCTTTACTTGTCTCTTCTGAATATGGGATGGGGAACAAGGAGGAAGAAGGGATCAAGGGGGGGGGGGGGGTTGATAACAGATTTGCATCCAACAACATCAGTTTTCTACGACCCTGGTCATGGATGACATTTACTCTTGCAGATTCTAACTTTATAATATAATAATCTGGATTTATATAATGCTGAATACGAAACACTGTCTCTAAGCACTGTACTGATATCATATTAGCCGGGTCATGGGATTCATTCATGCACAATGTGCATCATCTCCACTCCCTGGGGTGCGTTTCTACCATATGGTCACCTCGAGGGCAAAAAAGACAAATGCTTTTGTTATCCTACGAGGTCCCCATTTCTCTCTTAGGTATGTAATGGCAAATGTAGAGTAATGCCTTGCCAAAGGATATTATTGCCATGTCGAGTATTAAGCCCATGACCTTTGCATTTCAAGTCAAGTGCTTAAACCAGTCGGCTACGTCGTCTCTATGAGTACGATCAGTATATAGATACTACAGGTCAATAATAGGTCAAAAAGCTAAATTGTGGTTAAGAAAAATCTGCTTTTGTCTCTGGCAAAAAAAATTAAATGATGGGGAATATGAAATAGGTGTAGTACATATTTGGGTGTGGATGCCTTTGTGTGTACACACATTTTTATTTTGCATCTTTGATTATTTCTTGACAGTGGCTGAATTGTGCATGTTTATTACAATTTCTAAATGTAAGATCCATATAACATTGTCTCCTTAGGAGCAATAAAGACACTTAAGAATATATCTGATCACTTTAAAAGGCCACTATGGCAATGGAATTTGTACAATACCTTTAAATCGTACCTTGTGGAATCCCTAATTTATATGACCGCAGGCTGTGATTGGCAATACTGACCCATCCTAAAAGAATTATTGATCCAAGCTGCAACCATTAGGAGGTATGTGAGACCATTCTATGACTGTGGCGGTGCCAATGGTATTGATTGAATTATGAAAACAAATGCAGCCTCTAGACCCGTTGCCATTTAACCCGTACAGTACTTTGGCCAGTATATATCTTCCCTATATTTAATGTCTTGCAATGTCTTTGTATATGAGCAATAGTCACTTTGTCCTCTGAAACCTAATAAGCACCAAACTTAACCAGAGAGAATTTTAAATAAATTAATAAAGTAAACTATTATGGTAGAATTATCTTTTGATCAATACTTCTTAATTGTTCTTTAATTAATATCACTGTACTTATTTATTATCTTCTTTTTTTTTGTTGGGGGGGGGGTATGGTTAGCTAAAGAATTCTAGAAGTTTTGACCATCCTGTTGAAAGCGATGAATAATTTGCCAGAAATGTTTTGTAAGTGATAATGATTTTGTTTAAATGTAATATTCAGAATGAAGGAGTGACAGAAATAGCTACTCTTTTACATTTCCAACAAGTTATTAGGCACCACGATGAGATGCAAAGGGATAAAAGTACAGGCATGCTGGTGGTAAGCTCCATAAACCTCTTGGAAACAATTAAAGTAATATTATGGTTTCAGTGAAAGTTAGTGCACTAGTTCCTGTGGATAAGGCATTCCTCCTCAAACATCTCAGTCTCTTGTGTAGAATTGAAACCATAGGTCCCCTGGGGCTTATTTATCTGTTTTCTTAATGAAAGAAGCAATTAATAAAACAATCAGACTTGGGGAGTGTTTCACAAAGACTAAGATCAACTTTAAGTTGGACTTTAATATGGCAGACCGTTCATGCAACTGTTTGCTCTCACCAGTTACTGTCATTTGTCTCTCAAAGAACGTACAACTCAAGGTCACAAGTCTACAGAATCTATATTTTTAGATAATTCATTATTGAAGGAAAAAATATTATCTAAAGATCCTAAAGGTGAGAGCAAACAGTGGCATGAACGGCCTGCCATATTTAAGACCAACTAAAGTTGATCTTAATCTTTGTGAAACACTCACCTGGTATAGTAAAAGCAGGGTATTTTACCGACATCGCCACAACTGCTGTTATGTATTCTCAATCTTTCGGTGAAGGCATACATAGAGTGATTTCCGGTTCCTGTACCCCAGCATCATCACGTGCGCATCTTTATTTGGTGATGCATTCTGGGACATGGCTGTGGAGTGTCCACACGTCGGGAAATTATAAGCAGCAGATGGCAGTAGACATTAATCTGAAGTAGTGTCAGTAGCATACCCTTGCCTTTAAAGAGCTAACCAAAACAGAAACTGATACATCAGTCTGTAGGGCTCGACGTGCTCGAAGAGCTAGAAACCACATTCATTTATATCAGCTTACACACAGTTTATGGACTTCTGACTCTCAACAGACAGTGTGTTATAGGGGTGTTGGAACATACTGCCGCCTCCGCTCGAGAGATGGACAGAAATTAAGAAAAAAGTCTTCCTTAGTATGTAAACAGTTAAATTATGATGGGATATGGAGCATGAAATTGGAGAAGCATCTACCCACACAAAATGAACACCTGTAATAATATCATCATACTAGGATGCCCAGACAGGATTAAAAAAAGTGCAATTGCCAATTCATCAACAACATCATTTGATATTGCAGCAGGATCCATACCATATGGATACTCCTATACCTGCTGTATGCTTGAAATCGGGGAAATATTTTTTTGAGAATGTTACAAGGGAGGATGTTTTACAAATGCTACACACTTAAAATAGTTGGGCAAAAAAATGCCCAACTTTTAACCAACACTGAGCAACATACGGTCCACACAACTATTGGTTAAAATCTGCCCAACTGATGTTGGGTAATCAGTTTGCTATGTGGTTGGGCAAATTGAATTGCCCATCAGTTGGTGACCCATCATATTTTACCCAACTCTACAATTGCCTAACAGTTGGTTATATTTTCAGTTGGGTAATTTCTTGCCCAACCAATTTTACCCAGTTAGATATTGCCCAACCTTCTATTTGCCCAACTTTTGAGTAAGTTTAATGTTGGTTAATTAAATGCCCAACCAGTTTTTACCCAACTCCCAGTCTGCCCAACTATCAAAACACCCATCTATTGGGTAATAATTGCTCAACAATTTCTCTGCAACATCCATTTGCCCAACTCTCAAAACACCCATCTATTGAGTAATAATTGCTCAACAATTTCTCCACAATATCCATTTGCCCAACTATCAAAACACCCATCTATTGGGTAATAATTGCTCAACTATTTCTCCACAATATCCATTTGCCCAACTATCAAAACACCCATCTATTGGGTAATAATTGCTCAACTATTTCTCCACAATATCCATTTGCCCAACTCCCAAAACACCCATCTATTGGGTAATAATTGCTCAACAATTTCTTCGCAATATCCAGTTGCCCAACTCTCAAAACACCCATCTATTGGGTAATAATTGCTCAACAATTTCTCCGCAATATCCATTTGCCCAACTCTCAAAACACCCATCTATTGGGTAATAATTGCTCAACAATTTCTCCGCAATATCCATTTGCCCAACTCTCAAAACACCCATCTATTGGGTAATAATTGCTCAACTATTTCTCCACAATATCCATTTGCCCAACTCTCAAAACACCCATCTATTGGGTAATAATTGCTCAACTATTTCTCCACAATATCCATTTGCCCAACTATCAAAACACCCATCTATTGGGTAATAATTGCTCAACTATTTCTCCACAATATCCATTTGCCCAACTATCAAAACAACCATCTATTGGGTAATAATTGCTCAACTATTTCTCCACAATATCCATTTGCCCAACTCTTTAATTCGTCTGTTGGATAATCATTGCTCAACATTTTTTCCATAACATCTATTGGCTCAACTCTTTTTCTCATCTAAAGGGTAATAATTGCTTAACTGAAACACAAATAACATACACAGTAAACACATGTTGTTGTTTTCATCAGAAACGTAAAAACAAAACTTGTTAACATCAACTACAACATTACAATTTTTGGTGAAAAAAATACAACCTTTTAAAAAAAGTAAATGCAAATATAGCCCCTGTTTGGTGCAGCATGACAACTTTGATGTACACTGTATGTATTCCATGTACTCTGATTTCATACATGAATATGTGCATCATATATATTTTGTGGGTGTGGCATAGTGTTCATTTATCCTGACACACCAATACTCTGCCTTAGAGTGTTACACATGAACACATTTTTTTGAAGTAAAAAAAAAAGAGGAAATAAATTCAAATCCCTCTAGATTATTTGACATGTGCAGAAGTACCACATGAAAGTTTGGCTATCTGTGATGGTGAACAGGTACTGATCAAATAACAAGGATACACACTGCCTACTATAACTTTTTGATTAGATTAAAGACAACAAAAATCAATTGACCCTACCTGCTATACTCAGTTTGATTGATTTTATTGATATTATCAATAATATCAATACAATTTTGCAAAATGTAGATAAAAATGTTGACTTCTCTACTTCTGCTTTGCGCGATGTAAATTAATGCATGCAGTCCATTCAGCAGAGAGTTCAGCGTAGGGTCAATGGACGATACACATTACATGAAAATTAATGGTATATGTAATTTACAATCATATACCCCACTTGCTTTTTTAAACGCAGAAAATATCATAGCTCATGTTTTATGAAGAAATATATCATTTTGATGTACGAGTTATGAAACAGTACTCTTGGGATTAAGACCAAACACGATAAGCATTTGTATACGCCAGTGCAAAAGATTTATAGCCAATAATATGTTTTGTATTTATACTTGGCATATATTCATTTGTTTTCTTAAACTTTCAAGGTGGGGATGTTAAGCAATGATTGGGATAAAACAATTAGGCCTTTATCATTTTTAAAATGTACACAAAGACTTCTGCTGTGTATAAATTCACTCTTTTTTTTAATATTATTCAGCGATCCTCACCCCACCCTCAAATCTTCAGTCTTACACAAACATGTCTAAATTATGTAAAATAATGTGCTGAATCCAACTCATAACAGTTTGTCTTTAAGGTTATTTTGTCCAAAATAATACTTTTTTCCAGTTTTTTTTCTCCCAAAATAAACTGGTTCAAGTAGCCAAAATGTGCTAAACGATGATGTGTCAGTTTCATCTGTAGGAAATATATCACCAGTAATCAATCTTGGCGTGAACACATCATGATGGCTTATGGCATGTTCATGAAGGCTCGGACCTCCCGCAGCTTTGGTGTAAGATGCTCCCCATCGGTAAACTGGAACACCACAATCTGGAGAAATTTCCAAACAGAACAGCTTTGCGGCTGATATTCGATATCCATCACATAAAGTGCCTTAAAGCACAAGTCGACTGCTTTAAGCAGTGTTGCGGCAGGAAGTATCCTCCTCTCTACTACGACGTACGCCTGTATTGGTGTGAGAATGTTCCCACGCACAACAACAAATGGCTGTGACCTGACTGCTTCATCAATGTTATCAACATAAGTCTGGATGTCGAGAACCTCCTGTAGTCCAAAGAGAAATCAAGAAGAAATCATTTGTAATTATATGGATTGATATATATATATTTGATGCTTGTCGAATGCTTCTGCTTATGAATCCACAATCACCTACAGGACACCCAAATTTGTTTATGCATGTTCATCCCTGTCCCATCAAAACATTACTGGGTATTCTTAAATATCCCTGCGGCAAAGGTCAACTGTACCCAAACTGGTCACGTTCAGAGCATTACATCAACTAAGCTGGAAGGCATATACAGCCTGTTAATATAAGCATGCATTTTTCACATGTCATTTGCAGGTTAAAGGACTTGCTTGCATTCATGAGTGAAATGCGATGTGATGACAAATCTGAGGCCATTTGTAGTTGTACCACAGATAATGACGAACTGACTTATTAAGATTAAAGCGCCTAGTGTTGCCCCTGCAGGGCCTCCTTGGGGACCAGCGTGCCCATTACTAGGAACTTGAAAATGGTTGCTTTTCAAGTTTTACACAAATAAAATGTTATGGCAATGCCTTATCTGGTAAGAACATAGGTATTGCATTTCAACCTCAATTTCATCAGTTGTCCTAGGTTTGAAACTCTTAACAAATTAACTATTGAATTTGTTTGTAATGAAATATGATTACTATGGCAAGATTTTAAACGCAAACCAAAATATATGCCTTACATGTCATTACTTTACCACCTCCCCAGCACATATACTTACTGGTTGAACGTCAATGAAGGACGACAATGTTTCTGCAGTGGTGTACGTTCCTCTCTTGGAATCTTTCCTTCCTCGGAACAAGACTGGGAGCATGTAGAATCCAAGATTGCTCTTTTCCTCTAAAAAGAGGGAAACAATGAAAGAGTTAAGTAATTAAGTCCCAATTACATATGAAGAAAAGGTGCAACAGCAAACAGGTCAATTATGGAACATCTTACAAAATGTACAGTTATATACAGCAAATTAAAAATAACGGTCGAATACAACAATTATTTTCTACAAATATGGGTAAAATCACTCAACGTAAATGTCAGTCAGTAATTTGGAGCTCAGCTTTCTGAGTAAAGAAAATCAAAATTGCACAAACTTCAGCATAGCCTTCCCAATGAGCTTTAAACCACCATCCCCACCCCAAAAAGCAAACAAACAAAACAAGCAAGTAAAAGTATGCTAAACCTTTGTCATGGAATCATGTTTTTATCATATGTTGTACATGTATTATATGTTTCAGAGCACTTTTATTTATTTCAGTTCAATTCCTTACAGGGGGGATATTAGACTCAATGTTTGGTCCTGGCCACAAAAATAAACATCATATAGTGTAATTGAAATAAATTCTTTTGACTTTCTCTCAAGTCATTTTCACTAATACTGTCAAATGTGTGTTCTGACACCACATACCAAGACTGAGTTTCCCAGGGTCATGAATGTTTTCGAATTCGGCTCTTGCACTTCTCCAGTTGCCAGTTTTCTCGGTGAAGTCCACTACTTTGTTACAGAATGTGGGCCACTTCTGGTACAGTGCGTTTGCTTTCTCTGGGAACAATTCTGCAAAATCTCCTTCAATCTGTAATTGTTAGGATAGTTATAGAAGCCAGATGAAAGGTAGGATATCTTTCATTTGCATCTTCTCTTTACCATTTTGCAAGGATTTGAATGGTACACACTAACAATTATCGGTTCAATAGGGATGCACGATTTCTGTAGGACCGTGTATCTCAGATTGTTAAACGATCCCTTTAAGGAGACTGCTAAAGTAAACCTGCCCATGCAACCAAAAAACAAAAAAGTTACTTCTCAAAACATGCGACTCTAGTTTAATTTAATGTCCTTTCTTGTCACATGCAGAAGAAAAATCAAGGTCCACATACCATTCCAGCATCGAGAAGTCTGGGATATGTGGTAAGAATGTTCTTCACACAACAGTCACTTCTCTTGATCCAGTCATGTCTTTTTGTTGCTGTTTGTTTCATGTAGTCCTTCACCATGTCCTCTGGCTCCTTGTTGTTACGCAGCCATTCTTCCATTGTCGTGATGTTATCATCGTTCACAGACTCAAGATCGGTATCTCCTGGATATAATGCAACAGAACAATCAACAATTAGCATGTATCAACAAGTTTTTGATGATTGTATTGGAAGGGGGGTTTTAGTTGGCATTGCTCATGCCCCACCAGTTTGTTATGGCACAGCATGACTTCATCAGACGGATCTGAATAACTCAAAACTTTAACTATATGAAAAAGTAGCCAGAATACCTTGCTTTTGAGACTCTGCCTCGTCTTCAGCTACTGGTACCCTCAGGGACTTCTCCTTTTTTCTGACATACCTCAGATGCTCCTCCAGGTAGCCTGTTGCTGGCCGTCCCTTGGCCCCCACGCAGTACCAGGCCTCCTGCTCAAATAAATTAAAATTCCTTCATAATTCAACTTCAAAAACAGTAATGCTCAACAACATTTGTTAAACATTAATAATAATCAAATAAAAGCACAATAAAATTCCAGTGTAAACTGTACATTTACATATTTTGTTACATATGTCAGTGTTTGCAATAACAAGGTTTGTCCTCTTAAGTACCTATTTCTAACTGCACACTGTTATATTCCAGCAATGTCATCAAGTCATTGCAAAAACAAAGTGAATGATGGATAATTCTGTGAATATCCATTACTCAATGGCATGCAGACAAAAGTCTAAATATTAAGAGATGTGTCATTACTGGATAATATAACTTATAAACAAGTGGTAAAAATAAACAAAAATATTGCACGATTTAGTGATTGATGCCATATTAGCTTTTCATTATTTGTAAGCTTTTCAGGCCTGTCTACTGTCAAATTTACTATTGCCAGAGATGCTCTTACAATGCTTGTGATAATGTGATACAACATGCAATTGATTGAGCATCTCCAATATAATAAATACAAGAATAACAAAATTGAGGAAGCTTCATAGCAAGTTACACAAAATAATATGATCCAGTATTCCAAAAGTTATTGCATAAACACATAATTTATTTGATTTAGACCTTAAAGTAGCTTATTGCTTCTGGCTCAAACAGAAACTTCTCATAAAATTTCACTTTCTTGTAAATGGGGTCTGTGGGGTAGGGACAGATGGAGGTATGGATGGACAACCTAAGAATTAAGGCACCTCCAAGTAATAAATGCCCGCTGTGGTAAGAATCAATCCATAAATCAGTCCAGAAAAAAGTGGTGATCTGAGCCATACCTGAGGTCACATTAAGGAAAGCAATTCATGGACAGGACTTACATAGCCAAGTGGAGATTCTGGATCTTTTAAGAAAGGAAAGCTTGTCACAATGGCATGGGCCATTGATGCCTTCACAAATGAGCTTGGCTTGGTACCATACTCCCGTATCAGGTACTGAGTCAACATATCCACAACAGTATGCCGGTCCCTTTTGCTGCAGAGATTTGTAGCATTGATGTTCCTTAATGCTGCTCTTCCCATGGTGGTCTCTCTCAATATACAAGCAATGTTCTGCAACAGATAAAGGATTTTTTGTTTAAAGATCAGTAAATTCAGAATAAACAAGTGAAATGTGACAGCATGCAGTCGGTGGGTATATCTCTGGCTGTCCGACCTCCTACAATAAGCCCATCATAAATCACTCACTGGGCATTCCTTGCAAACTTTGTTCTGATAAAAAATTTCAATGAAACCTTGAAACTGACCTTAGACTAGCTTAAAACCCATAACCCCAACCAAACATTTTCCATAACATTCCTTTATTCATTCATACCAAAATGTACCTACCAAATCATATCACTAGCCATTCTGCAGATGTAGAAATAAAATGGTATTTTTAGTAAAAACTTGAATAACCTTTGAACTGACCTTTCACCTTTGAGCCCTGCTGCTTGTCAGAAATACTGACAGACAGATAACTCCAAGACATAATGCCTCTGGCACCCTTATGTGTTGGAGGCATAAAAACTGATGAATGATGGTGACTCGACATGCCCACGCTTCAATTGTATCAGCCCACTATATACATAAACTTACGAAATGCACTTTCTTGACCCGTTTCAGGGGAGGATGTTGATCAGGACTCTTGGATTCTGGGGAGTCGTAAAGTGGCGTATCCAAACTGGGCTGGGAAGGGCTTTGTCTGGGACTCCACTCACTTCCTGTTACACAAGAGAGATCTGAGCAGTCATCTAAGGAGAACACTGATGGGCTTCTTGTCGACGTTGATGCTTGTTCCATGCTTTGTTGATTTGCAGCATGATACTACAATAAATAAATGAAAAATAATTGAACTTTCAATGTACATGTAAATGACTGATTATTCTTTACATTATTAATGACACAAACAGCCCCAGGTTAGACTTTAGTATCAAGTTTATTCCTTGAAGGGGAAAATCATTCTCACTGTTTCTGTACCCTTGTCCTATTTAAAGCAAACCCATAATTGAAAAGTGGTCACTCATGAGCCGAAGCTTCTTCAGTACATCTATAATATAATAATATCCAGTTAGGAACTTTCACTTTAGGCAGGAACATGCATTGGTAAAAAATAGCACATTTCCGGGGCCTCAATGAAGTACATATGCTAGAAAAACTTGGCATGAGTCATGGTACATTTAAGAAATTACAACATAATATGAATGAATGCAAATATAACAGACACATTTTCAGATACAGAAACAATGAAGTTAATAACGAGTTAAAAAATTCAAACCAGATATTTACTGTAAAAATTGTCATTGGAATAATCAAATTTGTTAGCAAGTCAGTACAGATCGATCAAGGTTAGCTTCTTAGCTATTTTTTCAATCAAAATGTGTAGAATGATACACTAAGAACTGATTCATAGATATAATTGTAATTGGAATAACAGTTTCTTTCTTTTGCTTTGTTTTGGTTCTGTTCTCTAAGACAAAATTTGCAAGTGCACCTGTAATGTCTAGTTGTAAAAATATATCACTTGCTTGCAACGGGTTGCCTACACGTACCTTCTTGTTCCTAGATGAATGAATGGTGCACCACAATATACAAGCAGCGCCCTCTTCCACTATAGGACTGGACAGCATTGACTGGCCTGTGATCAAACAGGTCACACCATTCAACAGCAGCTTGTGATTCCTCTCTGCCCACCTGTACTGCAAATGCTTCAACATGTCTGTTGAAGTACAAGGTCTGATACAGCCGAAGGAGCAGATACAACTTTTCTTGCACCACTACAATATGCTGAACACGTCCAAACGTGGGTCCATCATCATCAGTCCAATATAGAAGTACATCAACACCTGCCCGGAACTCATATCCATGAATGTCCACTTTCCCAGCAACTGTAACTTCGGTTCCCCTTCCACAGTTAATTTTTTTGCAAAGTGCCTCATCATCAAGTAGATCACCAAGCATTGCTGCAGCTTGCTGTGACACATTGATATCTTGGCTATCCAGTGACTGATTTGATACTGACCTGTAGCACCGTGCCATTTGGTATCTGTTAGCCAATGTTTTGACAATGTTTTGGTAGTTGCAAGATACACTGGCAATCTGCTTGAAAGGTCTGTGCATTGCTTCAAAACGCAATGCTGAATACTGGGTCAGTGGCCCAAGGTGTTTCAGTGCACGTGGGTAATGCACAAGAAAGTGCTGCTTCGGAGTTAGACTAGCTTCAGGGAAGAGCTGCATGAAGAGCCTGTGGTGATCATCAATCATTGCCTTCAGGACATAGATGGCAGACTTACTGATACTGGGACTCATAATGATTTTGAAGATGTCAATGATTGACAGTAAGAGTTCCCACTCATCACACATCTCATCAATCTTGTCTCCTAACATGAGAGGGATGTTGTATGCAAGGCACGTCATCTGTGCTGATGTCTGTCCACTGGCAGAATATGGATTCTTCAGTGATGCCTGCCTGATTGGGCTTGGTCTGTTTTTGCGGTCCACAAAGCCAAAATTGAATGAGGATATTCTACTGTTCACCTCATCCAGTGTTATGAAACCCTTCTGAACAAGTTTACTCAAAACAAGGTGCATTTCCAGGGGCAAGACTCCCTCTGTAAAATCATGCATTACATCTGGACATAAGTTTTGGGTGGAATGGTAGTAAGGCAATTCATTCAAAACTGTTGCATGCTTCAAGCCAGATTCTGACAAGGGCTTTTGAAGATCTGTATCATAGTTTATTTCATCACGGAGATATTGGGCATCCTCTTTTGGCTGTTTCTGAAGCAACGAGCGATGGCCTCTACAGAATCTACAGTAATAGTTGGCACGGAAACAGGTTGTACATCCCAGCATGGCATGAATGCCAAGATTGTCCCCTACAACTTGGAATAAGTAGGGTTTGACCCTACCCTCAAACTCTTTGCACTTGATAGTGAGTCCATCAGTCCACATCTGCTGCAGATCATCCTTGATTACCTTCAAAACTTCTGAGATGCCATATTTACTCAAAAGCGGAGATGTGATCATAGCTGTGAGCATGATATTTTCTAGCCTAGCCTGGTATTTCCTGGGAAGGGATAACACACTTGTATAAAAGGCACTTACCTTGTGTTTGCCGCGTTTTGACCCAAGCGGATTGGCTGTCTCAAACTCATCATTGTACAACAACAGAGGCACTAAGAATTCACAGTCTTGTCTAGCAGTAGCTTCCTGCCTTTTATAATAGTGACCATCTTTGAATGAATACAAAACATCATTATCTTTTGATCCTTTTTGAGACAGTATGGCGTTCATTACTCCTGGTCGCTCTAAGTATTGTTTAATAGTGTCAGCTAGTGGTATATATTGAAAGGTTTCTTTTTGTGTGCTTTGCAGTGGATCACCTGTCTTTTGATCAATTTTTGGTTTTAAGCAAGTTCCCAACAACACCTCACAAGGCTGAATGAAATCACCTTTCTCAGAGAAATATTTTTTCTGTTGAGTATCTGACATGAGCTCTGAAAATGGATTCTTTGAATTCTCGAATACATCTTGTATATCAGATCTCAGCTCACTGTTAGCTGCATATTGTGGCTCACTTAAGATATCCATCACATCCTGTTGCACAGTTTGTAACACAGAAATAACCAAATCTTGTGCGGTTTGAATGACCTTGTTGGTGTGTGAAGCAGGCACATTAGTCCTTGCCCTGAGTTCTGCTACAAACTTTGCTGCAATATCAGGTAGTCTCTCTGTTTGCGTTTCAAAAGAGACATCTTCCTGCTCACTGCTTTCTCCAACAAACAATGCCTTTTCCTGGTGCAGTTGTTCCAAATTCCCTTCAGTGTTGTTATTCTTTCCTAGAACAGATCCTTCATAACAGGTTTCACTTTGGTGATCTGGAACTGCTTTTGTAGTTGTGCTTGACGTCTTTATCCGTGCAGCGTGCTTTGAAATGAGATGTTTTCTATATCCCGATAATGTACGAAATGTTAGTCTACATGCCCCTTGCATGCATGTTATACTTACATTTTTCCCCCTGGTTGTTGTATGTGTGTATTTTAAATGATGGAATAGGCAAGAAATATCCCCCCTAATTAAATCAAGACACTGAAAGCATCTGTAACTATCCATAGTGAGATATTGTGCCACATCTAGGGCCTACCTCTGCACGCCACCCAGCGAGAAACTTCAATCGAGGTCCAATCTTGGGTATGAAGGATGTGATTATACTTTCACTTAGAAGGGGAAGGGTTTCCACATCAACTTCATTTTCTGGAGAAGAAGAGGGAGAGATTGATAAATAAGGCTTAGTGCAGCATAAACTGATTGTTTTCATATAATACCACAAACACACGTATGGTTGCGCAAATTAAACAAAAGTATATGTTTTAGATAATGATAAGCTGTAAACATTTGCTCATGTTCCAGCTAAAATATCTTCCATTTTGAATAAATCGCATAATCAATGTTTTTTGTTATTCCACAAGAGTCTATGAAAATCTGAATTTTCAAATGCGATTTTCTCGAAAATTTGGTCTTCGTATAGAAAACTTACTTTTAGATCATACTAGCGAATTGTATCAACTAATTGCTATTTATTTTCAGGTGATGTTACTAACATCCACACAATCAAATTAAGAATGGAAACCTTTTCTAAAGTCATACTAGTAATCACCTTAGTTTAGTCAAATTGTGCCTAATTTTTAACAATGTAGGGGCCTATTTAAAGTATAAAGATTAGTTGCATCAGCAATGAATTTGATTTCAAAGAAAGTCATTCAACTTACCAAATGAATCAGAATGATTTGAGAGTTAGCATAGCGGTCAATATATGCTGATTGGTTAATTAACATTACTAATTCATTGATAATCATATGTGTCTTCTCCATGTGCACTGTCATGCCTATTACTTCAACTTTAAACTGCCATACCGGTAATTGTTTTGTTCAACCTTTTGCGGCTGCCATGATATTGTCTGCATTAGTAGCCATGTTTCTCAGCTTTAGTATGACAAATAACCTAGCTTTATCTGACCAGGGTTTCTCAAAAAGTCTAGCACTCAAGCCTTTCACAGGCCACTTACAGTACCATACAACCATATATAAATTATAGTGTGTTACCTTGAATAGAGGCAACTGACAATTGTTTATCCTAGAAAAGATAATTTGTGGTGTTTAATAATTCTTTTGTACAGCTTATTGTTCAGTGGTGTGAAACATTAAAAAAAATGCATGTGCTGGAACATTTCACTGATATGAAGCAAAATAGGACAGTTAATCCTGTACTAACGAATGTCCTTCCTCCATGTGCACCTCCATCCCAAAATCGAATCAGTTCGTTGGCTTTGCAACTTGCAAGATACATGTACATGTCCCAAGTTTGGATGGTAATCCGTCCATCGGTTCTAATGATTTCATTGAAATCTGGACATGTAGTAAAATAGTGTACAATTTTGTGGGCATAATTTGGTGGCTTAAGCATCTGTAATTTTTCCATATTTAAAAATTATTTTCAGAAAAAGATTTTTTTAAATGAGAAAAAATGTACCCATGTTAAAAATTGTGCCCATTCGTGTACTACAGCGAGGTCACTGCAATTTCGAAAACCACCACAGCCTCTTGGTTTTGAATTAGGCTATTAATATGGGCTAAAATGTGGGTCAACTGCCTTTTAGTTATGACAAGGAATATCGCAATAGCACATAATTAATAGCCCCATTTAAAACCAAGAGGATGTAGAGTCTATGCTCTGTAAAACAAAGTTAGGCAGATGTTACTGGGCAAATCAAAGTTTGGCGCGTTTTTGTCAAATAATTTCTCCCAACCATTTACTGTATGAAGTTACCTAATAAAAGGTCAGAAATAAGTTGGGTAGGTGTTACTTGGTAAAACTGATGTCGGGCAAATTTTGTCCAACAATTGGGTTATTTTCTACCAACCATGTAGTTACCGATGAAATAATTGGGTAATATTTTTGGGCAAATTAAAGTTGGTCATTTTTGTCCAATAATTGGGTTATTTTCTACCAACCATGTTACTGATGAAATAATTTGCCCAACTAGTGTCGAATATACTACACATTATGGTGAGAATTGGGTGAATTTCCTATTGGGGTAAATTTTGTTGGTTAAAAGTTGGGTATTTTCTTTTCATCCAACACTGGGTAAATCATGCAAAATCTTTAATTTACCCAATAGTTAGTCGGACACATAAGTGCCCTCATGTTGGGTAAAAATTGGGCACTTGCCCAACATTTTTTTAGAGTGTTTGAATTTCAAAGTCCTGTAGAAAATGAAAGGGCAAAATCCTTAACATGGCAATGGGCAAGACAAATTGTCTCACTTTTTGAAATCTAGACTTCTAGATCTACAGGAAAATGAAAGATGATCTTCCACAAAATAATGTTCATAAAATTGTACATTATTTGACAACTTCAATTTTCTGATGAATCATTCAGTTCAGTGTTGATTATTAAATATAAGTAGGCCTAGATCTAGATCTAGACCTAGACTAGATCTAGTATAGTAATACCAATTTCAGATAACAGAGATAATTGTTCAAAATTACACCAGTCCCACGTACTGTATTACTATCTGGGTACACACCTACAAGTATGTGGTCCAATGTATTGGACCCACAGAACTCTTAAATACGTATTAAAGAGTTCTGTGATTGGACCCCATACAACCCATGATCCATAGAAAATGGAGGGTATTGTGTTATGTATGTATTGTAGCAGGTTTTGGCCTTTGGGTTTTGTAAAATCTTGAACAAAATATTTTTAAATATTCATTTGTGATCTAAAATTCATGGAAACAGTACAATTTGAATTTGATATCTAGACCTATATCAATCAAATATTAGTTTGGATTAGTAACACATGCATTAAAAGAGCAAATTTGAGGCAAAGTTTAATAGACCAATTGAATTGAAGCGTATTCATTAACCATTGCTGAGGCATATAGAACTAGTCTACATGTTGCTCATGTGTTATGGATATGGGAACAAGTCTACAGCAAGTACCTGTTGATCATGTTCTAAACTTCTAATCTCAATAAGATGTGAACGTACCTTCTAGTATCTTTAACACTGACGGACATCCCCACCTTTGAACGATTTTGGTGAGAGGGTCTATGAACCCATCTTCACTTGAACTATCTCCGCAGCAGTTGTCGAGCTCCATTTTTAGACCCTCAGGCTCTAGCATGCAAGACTCCGATATGATGCGTATATACGTACGTACGTACGTACAGTACAGGCTGCTAGTTACGTTGGTGCATCATATAGCTCGAGCTCCCGGGCCGGGACGGCCGCGCCGGCTATACCGAGTAAATAGAAATAGTACTGCGCATGGCATGCTGATCGCGAGCGACCAGGCCATGTGCGCGCTACCCCAAGACCAATACCAGGCAAACTTTACCCAAGTCTGGTTAAACGTAAGTCTAGTCCCCATCGAAGGTTTCCACTGCCATTTACGCATGCGCGTAATTGACGATGATAGCGTGTACGTTCCATGATCATTACTTACGTAGATTATGTAACTCTATAGGCCTACATGGTTAAGATGGCTCAGTTTTCACAAAAGATAAATCTTGGACTCTTTCAGCATCAAACTCGCACAAATTCATCGTCGCTTCAACACTCTGTTATTATAATTTTAAAATAGTCTAGAAGTAAATGGTTACAATTACAGGAGAGATAATTTCAATTTTTCATAGCAATATTTACACAGCATATTGTGAGCTAAAGAAAATTGAGCTAAATATATTTGGTAAAAGGCGGTGGTCAATTACTACCCTATATAAGCAAACAAAAAAAGGCGCAAAGTGAAATTGGGTAAGTGGTGATGGGTAATTATTACTCAGCATATGAGCAAACACAAATATGGGCAAAATAAATTGGGTAAGGGGCGGTGGTCAAATAGTACTCAATGTATGAGCAAACAAAAATTGAGCAAAGTAAAATTCGGTAAGTGGTGATGGGTAATTATTACTCAGCATATGAGCAAACACAAATATGGGCAAAATAAATTGGGTAAGGGGCGGTGGTCAATTATTACCCAATTATGAGCAAACAAAAATTTGAGCAAAGTAAAATCGGGTAAGTGGTGATGGGTAATTATTACTCAGCATATGAGCAAACAAAAATTTGGGCAAAGTAAAATTGGGTAAGAGGCGGTGGTCATTTATTACCCAATATATGAGCAAACAAAAATTTGAGCAAAGTAAAATTGGGTAAGTGGTGATGGGTAAATATTACTCAGCATATGAGCAAACACAAATTTGAGCAAAGTAAAATTGGGTAAGAGGCGGTGGTCAATTATTACCCAATTATGCGCAAACACAATTTGAGCAAAGTAAAATTGGGTAAGTGGTGATGGGTAATTATTACTCAGCATATGAGCAAACAAAAATTTGGGCAAAGTAAAATTGGGTAAGAGGCGGTGGTCATTTATTACCCAATATATGAGCAAACAAAAATTTGAGCAAAGTAAAATCGGGTAAGTGGTGATGGGTAATTATTACTCAGCATAAGAGCAAACACAAATATGGGCAAAGTAAAATTGGGTAAGAGGCGGTGGTCATTTATTACCCAATATATGAGCAAACAAAAATTTGAGCAAAGTAAAATTGGGTAAGTGGTGATGGGTAATTATTACTCAGCATAATTATGAGCAAACAAAAATTTGAGCAAAGTAAAATTGGGTAAGAGGCGGTGGTCAATTATTACCCAATATATTAGCAAACAAAAATTTGAGCAAAGTAAAATTGGATAAGAGGCGGTGGTCATTTATTACCCAATATATGAGCAAACAAAAATTTGAGCAAAGTAAAATTGGGTAAGAGGCGGTGGTCAATTATTACCCAAATATGAGCAAACAAAATTTGAGCAAAGTCAAATTGGGTAAGTGGTGATGAGTAATATTCCTCAGCATCTAACAATTACCCAACTACTTGGTAAATTGCTCTCAACTCCTTGGAACGATGTTGTTGCTAAATGTATAATAATTGGGTAAATATAATGCCCTGAAACAGATTGGGATAAAAATTACCCAACTTTGGAAACGATTTCTCGACCAACCATCAGTTGCCCAACGAAATTTACCCAACTCGCAGTGGGAATGTGCCAAAATTACACAACTACAGGCAAAAATTACTCAATCCTAATTTGCAAAATAATGTTGGTAAATTTCTAGGCGAATTTCTACCCAACCATCAGTTGCCCAACAAAATTTACCCAACTCGCAAAGGAAATGTGGCAAAATTACACAACTACGGGGCAACTGGTTCCCAACCCTCATTTACCAATACTGTTGGTAAATATCCGCCCAATAATTAAGTAAAAATAATTGCCCAATATTGGTTAAAACACTTAAATGCTTAAATGGGTAATAATAGCCCAGAATAACGAATTTTTTTAACCAACCAACAATTACCCAACTAAATTTACCCAACATTTTAAGAGTGTAGAGTTCCTTCTGCCCTGCATGGACTATTAATCAGGTCAAGTCCTTGACTGCTCTTGTTTATGTTCTCCTTTTATGTGTATGTCTTTGTCAGAATGTACCTGTTCCTTTATTGCCGAAGTATCAATAAAGTGATGTACCAATAATTCTGCTTCTGCTTTTGTGAATCATGAAATCACTTGTTGGTTTGGTTTTATTTTCCATAAAACAAACACAAAATATATCATATACCTAGGTATACCTACAAACATAAACAAATATTTCTTCATAAAGAATACAACTGGAATGCTCTATTCAAAGAAAACAAAATATGATGGTTAGATTCCTTATAGAGGTCCAGAAAGAGAAATGGGGGGGGGGGGGGAGGGAGGGGGAGAGAGAAAGAAAAAAGAATTGAATATACATGAATGTAATAAAAAAAAATCATTTGAATATAAATATAACAGAAATATTACAAATATATTGTATATCATAAACACATATTAAATTAAATTCCTCTCCTTACCTGTTTATGTTTGTTCTTATCTTATGAGATATAGTGGCTATCCATAAATTGCTTGATGGGGCAGGGGGAGGGGTTATCATCTCAGAGGGGAGGAGGGGTTATCCTCTCAGAGAGGGGAGGGGTTATCCTCTCAGAGGGGGGAGGGATTGTCCTCTCAGAGGGGAGGGGTTATCCTCTCAGAGGGGGGAAGGGTTATCCTCTCAGAAGAGGGAGGGGTTATCCTCTCAAGGGGGAGGGATTGTCCTCTCAGAGGGGAGGGGTTATCCTCTCAGAGGGGGGAAGGGTTATCCTCTCAGAGAGGGGAGGGGTTATCCTCTCAGAGGGGAGAGGGATTGTCCTCTCAGAGGGGAGGGGTTATCCTCTCAGAGGGGGGGGGGGGGAAGGGTTATCCTCTCAGAGAGGGAGGGGTTATCCTCTCAGAGGGGAGGGGGGGGGGGGGTGGGGGAGGGAATATATGCCACTGTCAGTATGTTCATATCTAATGCTGATTGGGATGAGGATTCCAGGTTTCTTTATGTCTTCTTAATATTTATATATTTTGTTCTGTTTATATTTTAATTTTGTTTATGTTAATGTTTTTTTCTCATTCCTTTTGTACTCAGAGCTGGTGCTATTATATAGCATTTTGAGGGACTTGCCCAAGGGTGTTATATTTTCACGAAGCGTGCAGCGCTGAGGGGGAAATATGATAACGAGGGTAAAATATTCAATAAGGGTTTTATTTGACAATGCTTTGCACTTTGCAGCCATAGACTGAATTGTACATGTTTTCTCAATATCATTTTACATACAATGCTTAATACGTTTTTAAAATCGATTATTTTGTTCTTTACATGAATACAAAATATTAAAGGAGAGAATATACAAAGTTAATGAATAAAATACAAAATGAAATTGTAAAAATAAGGAGGTATTACAATCACAGATTTATGTTAATAAAATAAAGCCTTCAACGTAATTAAAATATTTCTAGTACTACAAGGAATGGCAAGTTGTGTTGAGTTATGATAAACATCAGAAATGAAAGGTTAAAAACTGAAAGATTATTATGCATTTCAAAAGCATTTTGATATATTCAATTTTAATGATATTGTCACAGGATCAAGTCATATTACCCCCTTGCTGTCCAATAAATGTTATATAACACACCCAATATCTGTTTAATTAGATAGCCTTGATTACACATTGTCATATAAAATGAAGGTAGATTGTGATCTTATGCCTTGAATATTTCTTGAGCCATCCAGCCTTCCATGTCAAATATCAGTGGCTACGGCAATGTCAAACAATAGGTACTTGCTCGTGCGCACAGGGTTGCTTGGATAAGTAGTGACGCAAGAGAATACTCCTTAGACCAGGTGGTCAATATAATAACATCAAAAATGACCAGTGGGGTGTTTCACAAAGATTCTAAGTTTGACTTAAAAATTATGGAAAGCTGTTAGTATCTTTGAAAATATTTTGTAAAAGTTATTTTTAAAGGCATTCAAATTATTCATGATTTCTATTATCAAGGACATTTCATGTTCTTGATGTGAAATCTATAAAAATTCTAAAATACTTGAATTTTAACTATTGAATATGTTTTTTATTTTAAGGCTACAAATGGCTCTCCATATTTTTAAAGTCCAACTTAGAGTTAAGTTTGACTTAGGATCTTTGTGAAACACCCCCCCCCCCCCCCCCCCAGGAGTGATAAATATGCTAATAGCGAATCCTCAAAGTCTTAATCACGTGTCAAGCTTTGGACCAATCACAACTTGGTATCTGTTATTTAACCTTAAATATCCCTCATCATGGCCTGTAGTTTTTCAGCTGCAATACTGATTTATTTTCATACCCTCATGACACACCGATTAGATGTGCATCATGGGATGGGCTACAGTCGCAGGGGTGAAAAGATAGATTTTACATGTTTTTTGTGTGTGTTCAGTTTGAGCTCCTTGATAAAAATCTTTTGTTTTGGTTGATTTGCTCATGCAATCTTGAATATTGCATGTAAAGAAGGCTTTCTGGGCTTTCTTATTCACATGAATGACTGATTTGCAAGAGAAGTGTAAGGGGCAAGGTTAGATCTGCTTTATTTGCAGAGAATACATTATTGACCCCCCCCCCCCTCCCCCACGGTTTATTGCCATTTGGTCTAAAACCAGTTTGTCTACTACCTATTTAGTCTTAGACCAAATGACTGTTAGCCTAAATAGTCATTAGACCAAATGATAAGTAGAGCATATGGATAGTAGACAGGATGGGTGTAGACCAAACAGCAATTCACCCCCTCAACATCTATATTCATTTTTCATTTACCCTCCCTCCCCCATATATTTATCATATCTTATTTACCTTCTCAAGCGAAGCTACTTTACCCAGGCTTCTGCAGCTTTCCATAAGGATTGATAAGTTTCAATACAAATGTCATTCTGTATCTCCTTTATTGTGGAAAGATACTAGCGGCGTGGTCATTAGACGGAAGAATTCTTGGCCTCTTCCCCACTACTGGAGGCAAAACAATCAAACGCTTAATCACCAACGAAAGTGACTTGAAATGACTTAAGCATCTACTTTATAGTGCCTGAGTAATTTAGTGCTTTTATTCAGCGTGGTGCATTGCTAGAACTTTAACGTCCTTGTACTTTGATATTGATATATGTTTTAGTTGTTTTTTCTGTTTATGATCTATAAATTAAATACTAAATGGTTAGGGATTGTCTATGTGGGATATGCCAAAAGTCTGTTAAGGTAAATCAAAAAGGTCTATTATGCACACAGTGTAGAAAATGGGTACATATATCATGCGCTCATGTGTCTGACGCATCATATAATGATCCCTCTGAACTATTCATAGCGTGGATCTGCACATGTTGTGTTTTGAAACAGTTACCCTTTTATCATAATCATCCACCAGAATTGGAGAGAAGTAAACGACAGCAGAAACTGGATAGGCATTTTAATAAAACAAGTAATCAATCCAGTAGAATATACTCCAAATTATGTGATAAAGGTGTCAAATTTGTTCATTTGAACATCGTT